CTCATAGGTGACTTGGTTTGTCTACGGTGCGTCGTTATATTCGTGTTCAAAATACTTCACAAACTGTTCGGTAACCTTCTGGAACCTAGGTTTCTACATCGTGCTATTCCTTGCCGCCCTCAGTAATCTACACAAATACCGACGGGATAATCAGACCCTCTACATCACTTGGACCGCTCTTTTGTTCTTGTTATGCACCGTCGACAACATTGCGGAGACATGGTATCGAGTCCGGCAAGCTATAAAGATCTATACTGGGGAACATACAAAGGACTATGCGTCGCTGCAGATGTACGCACAACATGATTTAGTCAAGACCGTTCAGAGGTAGTCCGTTAATGTTATTGCTCCCGGCTACACCCTGATAACTCTGTATCGTTCTAGAGGTTTCTTGATGATGCTTCCAATCCTGGCGAAGTAAGCAAGATACCCTTTTATCCTCCCGCGACAGTCCGGTTATTGATCGTTTGCAAATTCACAAGCCTTGTGGCTGAATCAATGCTGGTATATATCCCCTTCTAGCCACACTGAAACTTCATCTAACATTCCGATTGTAGATTCACCGATGTTACCTCGTGTGGTTTGGGAACAGATCGGTCGGAATAAGTCTTGTGGTGGTATCTGTTCTTTTGAACGGTAAGTAAGAACATTTTGTATTGTTCATCACTGGCGTGCACAGTGCTACCTAGTTACTCGTAGCGGTCGGATTCTCGGGCTGCGTCATGTTCACAATCGGATTCCGTGATACACGATACGAGGAAAACATCAGGTTTCTCCTCAAGGGAAATAGCATCAACAACGGGTATTTGATCGCGAATGGAATCTTTAATACCCTTTTAACCGCGTTGACCGGTAAGCCATCCTTCAATAAGCACTAAACAATTACGCGCGAGCGCCACTGACACGGGCTTCGTTGTTACTGCAGCTGGTCGAATCTATATGATTACCCGCGAGGCTGAGAGATTACTTCAATACCGTAGTAAGCGAACTCACAGAACGGTGGTGGCGATTATGTACGTCTGTTATCCCCGATACCTCGTCCAACTACCGTCTAACATGGCGCTATAGAATTGAATCGGGAATGATATATCCCGCATCACTCATCATTTACCTCGTCATTCTCTTGCGTCTCGACCCGAACAACCAGAGCCTACTCCCTGTAGACCTGAGTCCTGTGTTTATGCAAGCTGCTGTGTGTACTCTGGACTTATTCTGGCCTTCGAGCATGACTGACCATTCTGTTTCTTCATGCTGTAGGGAATTGCGCCAACGCTCATAATCGCTCGTGCTCTACAAGGAAAGACGACCGACAGCGTCGAGCAAGTCATCTCCGCGAACAACCGAGACTTGATGGAGACGACCCACGCATGAAATATAGCCAGATTGTTGATTGTTGACTTGAGAGTCGACGACCGGTACATGAGAGGGCAAATCTGCCATCCTGAGGTCGAAAGCTATGTTGGAGGTGTGTGGAGATCGGAAGAAGCATTTTACGGCGCTAACATGGCTTGTTATATAACTGAGGTCGTGTATCGATGTTATGGTTTCCCCATACAACAGAACTTGCAATTAAGGAATGACGTAAAGCATGAGGATCTAAATGACCGAATTCTGGTGGAATATCCTTTCCTTTCCTAACCTTATTCGGTATTTGCCATAAAACAAATTTCTCAGGAGCCAAAGTCCTCCAGACAGCTCTCATAGTTACCACGGCTTTAGAAAGGGCGCCTCGTACAAAGACCTGCATCAGTAACCCGTGAAATAACCGTTTACGACCGTTTATGACCAGTACAGGTTCACCGGTTGGGCCCTGAACGGCTGGGTCCAAAATCTCACCGGCTGAATTTTTGGTAAACAAAACTGAGTTCCGAGCGAATTTTTACTGATGTCTTCTGTACCTAGGTCTTCATTCAGAGTACAAACACTCTTAGGAGGTCCTTTAGACAAACATCTCACATGAGGTAGGTCATTTAAAGCTCGCAATGAACCCAATTTTCTGACCGGTGAGCCCGCCACCCTGAGAGAACGGCTCAAGTGCCAAGAACGCGCAGCTTGTGCGTTGCAATACATTGTTGCTTATTACCTTTACATCGTGGTCGTATATTGTATTTGGGAAGATGTTAGATGCGAAAATCATTCGGATATACGAGTTCTGGGAACCCACGGAGAATATCATACTTCGACTCCGTTGAGTTGATCGCTACTTTCAAATAATGTTATCCACAGCCAAAGGGAAGGTTTACAAACTTCGTTCGGGGCCGACTCGCTGCTTCCTCGGCTCTGTAATTGTCCTCTGGTGGGAGGCCCGTGCGAGCCCGCGCGACTGTGAATATCTCTTCCCGTGCTCGAGGTGATGCCGGGTTTCAAGGGGTAGGTGCATTCACGAAGGCCTCGGCGTACAGCTCGTGTTTCCCTACACCACGCCACCCTAAGCTTCACCTCTTTTCTCTATTCACCGAGTCTGCCGTAATATTTCGGTCATTGGATAGTAACCCACACGACTATTTTCCATTTATGATCCGGTGATCTGTTTCGGCGGGACCTAACGAATTGTCAATGTAAGTAACAAGCTAAGCCTTCCTGAATTGGGTCCCGATTTGCTATGACAAAATCCAATAATTCAACTACTATCAATCCGCCGGCAGGATATCTCGTGTAAGACTTCCCTGTTCCAGTGCTATAGTTATAGCAGATGCTGGTCCTGGGGCGATCAAGGTCCTTCCCTTCCCACCTTTGCATACGTCGTCTCTCACGACGAAGATGTTTTCACTCTGTCCGCGTGAAAGCTGGGTTCGACTCCCAGCCAGGGAGTTGGTCAGAGTTGAGTGTATCGAGGTGTCGGAGTGATGAAGGTTCGACAGGGATGGAGAGTAGAGAGCACCTCAACGAGAGGCCCAGATCGGTTCCTGTTGATGGAGAAAACGGAGATTAAGAGTAAGATATGATGGAATCGGCGGCACTTGAACAAAAACGTACGCTTTGAACGAGGGTCATCTCCGTAGACCAGGCTTTAAAGGGATAACTGTGGCGTATAAGCCACGATGTTGGATCAAAGTAACGTTTGTTTCCGGGTGTTCCGAGGGCCAACGCAATTCTCAACGCCAGCGGGAAAAAGAGCAGTAGAATAATAGCGACGAGGTTGTATCCTCGAAAGGGAAGGGTCAGGTCTCCTCGAGCAGCTATCAGCGGCGAGAAGGCGTGCAGAGTCCTCAAAACGCCCACCATTCATGATCAAACAAAAACTCGTGTCCACATCCAACTACTCGAGTCCGAAATCCCAACTGACCCTTCCCCAAAATCAAAAGGTCCAAATCTGGTTTGTATTTCCCTTCGTACACTCCCAGTCTGCGATCCCATTACTCGATCAAGGACTCCACCAGCGAGATCCAGACACTGATTGTTTGGGCTCTTGGCGGTTCTAAACCTGTTGCCTTCAACAATCCATCCAGTGACGGGGTGTCGCCTGTGTTTGATCCGCAACCGGCTACCCGAAGGCCGGCACCGTTGTACGCTAGGGCGAGTTTGTTGGCAGAAAGGACTAGGAGAAAACAAAGGGACGTACGTCCGAATGGTTGATCACCGTGCCCGAAGATCGTATGCCAGCTCTTGAGACACAAGTTTGGTGCACCGACCGATTGAACCTCGGTCTCGCCTTCGGTGAAGTTCCAGAGAGTGAAATTAGACTCGGCGCACGGGTAGCTAGATGATGGTTTGGGCTAAGTGAGCAGGTCATTGGTATGGGTGAGTGACACTCACATCACGGCGTTGGTGTCGGTAGGAGGAGTCGGTGCACCACCGTCGTAAGGGACGATGCACCAATCGGTATTGCCATTCTGAAAGGGGGTAAGAGTTCAATCCAAGTCACGTCACTAATCAACTGAGAGAACATACAGGGTGAAGAGGACGTCCTCCAGCCTGACGAGCGCCAACAGTCACGGTCATAGCTGAGGCAGTGGTTGCGGTGGCGCAAGACACAGCAAGGGCGACGAGGGAAAAGTGCATCTCAGTTGACGAGAGAAATCGAGGTTGGGAGCGATTGACTCTGGCTCTCCTTCTACCCTTTTATACATTGAAAGCTGGTTTGTTGAGATTATGTGTGACGGTCTTAAATCACCGGTGTGGCAGGGTCGGTAGGAACCGCGCGGGTTTGTCGGGGTGGGTAGAGGCATGAAACTTCCCATCATGCCGTGTATGAATTACTGAACCATGTCGAGATGATTGTAGTACCCGAGTGGAGGGTCAGAAAAGTCAAAAAGGTACCTCGGGGTACTTATACGGTTTATTAATAGTATCCGATGACCAAACGAATTGGAAAGGTTGTCAATATGAAGGGCCCAATTTAAATATTTGACATACATGGTAAAGCTGATCTGGTTGTAGCTAAGTAGTATTCTACGCTGTGCATAACATCTTCAGTACCCGAGATAAATAAATAGCAAATTTATTTAGATCAACAAACCCACTTCCCCACCCAACTATAGTACACTCGAGTCTCAACCGACCATTTTCCCGCAATCGAGAAGTCTAAAACTGATTCGAATTCCCCTCCGTACATCTAGATGGTTACGGTGTAAAGGATCCAAACAGCTATCAAGTCATTCCCGCTTCTGTTTAACCGTTGGTAGTTGGTATTTCAAGATCGGGTAAGCGGATGAGCGGACCACTGGAGCTTCAAATCTGGAGAATGAGTCCGACTATGCTAGCAGAAAAAGCAAGAATTCGTCTTTTCAAAACTACGATGTCCACCCATCAAACAATAAAATATCCTCGGAAGGGATAGCACGGCGTACTAAAAACAGTGAATCTGCAGCGCGTACTGTATCTAAAAAACTGAATTGGCCGTCTGAGTGCGCACCTTCCCGGTTCAGGAGAGGTTAATCTCTGCTGCATAACCTGAACAAGTCGCAAATCTCAAAAACTCGGTGATGTGTGCTCTTGGAAAAATGAAAAATCGTAAGTTTGAGATTGAACATGTTGCTGCTCACCTGTCCAATGACAACTCCCTGGTAGTATATCGGTTAGTACACGCGCCTGTCATCTTTCAAGTGTGATGTTTGTGCTCGCGCGAAAGCTGGGTTCGACTCCCAGCCAGGGAGGTCCAGTGATACATCGTTAGTGCTTTTTTTTTTGTCCGTGGAGTCGTAGACGTAATGGTTTGGAATATATCCTCCAGACAGAGACTGTCCTTCTTCGTCACCGATTGGAAATCAACGACCAGTTGCCTCACGGTCAGATTGTGGTCGGGTAGACAAGACACACGTGCATAACAAGCGTTGTGAGTACCGTGCGCTTTGGGGAACCCAAGAACGCAAATGCCGGATGGTTAAGAAGTCGAAGCCCAGGCTAACGTTCCATTGGACCCGAATTGTCAGAATTCGACCTCTCCGAGAAGTCGACCTCTCCGATAGGTCGAGCCCTCAGCCATTCTATCAATGTGGAGCAGTGTAAGTACTACCAGGCACGGAGCCAGTTACTTGTGATTGGGAACTCATTTCCCGTAATATTTCTGAGTGTGCTTCTGTCACAAACGCAGGAAACGTTGATCAAAGAAACGGAATATGTTCAAGGTCATCACTACACAGCGAAACCCGAACAACCTTTGGTAACATCCGATGTGGTGTAGTGGCTAACATTGCTGTCTTTCATGGGTAGAATCACGCATATGTCTCACAGCAGCCCGGGGTTCGATTCCCCGCATCGGAAGTGGGGTGTCCTTTAGCAGTAATTTCTATTTTTCCATGATGATATAACCCAAATATGTAGCTCCGAGGGAGCTACCGTTCGTCGCCGACTCCTCTCCCACGGTGTATCGTATCATCTCCCTCTACTGACGTGATTAAAAGTAATCTCCCATGAATTTCATGGAATAGGAAAGAGTTCTTGCTACGTATTAGGTGGTTGATAGATAGGTAGCGTTCCGTATGCAGCCTGCATTTCACTCGTTTCCCTCACAAACTCTCGCGCCAAACCTGCTTTGGAGTCGAGATAACAAAACCTCCATGATGCTTAGAGGCATAATAGAGAAGCTCAGTACCGCGATCTCATACAGGGATAGGGAGCAAGGGGACTCACGTTGATTCATGACTCTGGCCGTCTCCCAGGTTCGCAGATGTGCCGGCCGTAACTGTTATGACTGGTGTTCACAACGTAAGCTCAATACTGAGTTATCGACCTGTCTTGGTTCTGGTGTCGTGAATGTGAGATTGAGTTGTAAGGTCAAGCTGACGAGCAAGACCTTCTACTGTACAAGTATAAATACTAAAGCTGGAACTGCGTACATACTGCGAACTGTTGTAAATACTGCGATCTGAGGCTGCGAACTGCTGCGAATACTGTGGTCTGATAAATAACACTGCGATCAGATAAATAATCGTATCGGAGTCATAGATAAGATATCATGGATAAAGAAAATGATATACCCCTTTCGTAACTGTAACATTACCCCATCTTTATATTGAATGTCCACATTCAATTTCGTATAGCCATCCTAAATCCAATTTTCCACCTATCAGAATTGAACTGGTTCGTCACAAATGTTGGATGCTGCAACATTGTCGTAATCGTTGTCAAAATCAGAATCAGGAACGTTAGGTTGGCGTGGTTGTAGGAAAGGTCGTTGAGGGCAGGTAGAGGGATAGTGCCCTGGAGATCGTCGGTTGCAGTAATTGCAAACCCATGTACTGCAGGAATGGGCGAAATGTCCGAATCCGTTACAGTTGAAACATGCGTCTCTGGAACTGGGCCTTCTCGATGGTCTGACTCGTGTTCTGACAGTTTGTCGTTGATTTGGTCTGTTAGGAAGGGAAACTGGTGCGGAGCGATTCGAGTTGATAGATGATTGTGAACTTCGTCGAGATCCCCCTCGTGGTCCTCTAGGACGATTTCATTGTCAGTTGGGTGTGGGGGCATTCGGTCTCGGGTCGTTAGTTTGAATCGGAGGTGATTGGTATCGTAAATGTCCGATTGCTGAAGCAATGACATTTTCTACCATTCGATCAGTGATGATACGAGGTGGAATAGGAATGGGAGCGGTTTCTACCGCTGTAGGTGGTTCGGCTACTGTGGACGAAATTTCTCCTTCCTCTCGTTCTTCCTTTACTACCATCTTTCCCTTGTCTCTCTTTTCTTCATTAACTCTGTTGATCTCTTCTGTGATTCGATGCTCTTCTCCGATTTTGATTTGTTCGAGCATTCCAAAGTTTAGAGCGTTTTCGCCTAACGTTCCCAAACTTTCTCGAAGTCCTTGAACATGTTCGACTAGTTTTGTATGCTCCCATCGTAGATCATAGAAAGTACGAGCGAAGAAAATGAGATGTTTGTGGTTCTGGAGGTGGTCTGTAACGAGTTCGTCATAGTCGGAGTTCATGAGTATTGCTTCGATGTTGTTGCCATCGGCGAGGTTAATGAGTGTTCGGGAAGGATACTGAAGTTGGTCTATAAGGGAAGGCATGTCATCGTGAGAGGAATTGTCGTTAATAGGTTGGTGTAGGGAGAGGTTGAAGTCAGAGTTTCGAGGGTAGTCAAGGTAGGCTGGTGGTGGTGGTACTCGTTGACGAAGTACTGTGCGAAGCTGAGTTTCGTAAGTCTGTGAGGTAGATGCTGCTGCGTTGACAGAGACCATAATGATATATTGTTATGAGGATGAGTGAGAGTGATTGGATGATTTCTTCAGCGAATTCGTCTCCTCTTTTTATACTCTTGAAGAGTTTCTTTGGCGTTTTTCAGAGCTTTGGCGGTAAGCCACTTGTTTTCTGATGATGGTTCCCCTACCCAAGTGACAAGGTATTCGCGGGGTTTCTTCTTCGGCCGATGATCGATAATCGATTCTACCTCGTTTTCTTCTTCTCCGTCTATGATATCAGGTGGCGGGTACGTCCAGTTCTCTCCATATGCCTCTGTTTCCTTGTATGGGGTTAAGAGGTTTGCGTGAAACACTGGATGAACTTTCCATTGTTCTGGCAGTGTCAGACAATATGTCACTGGTCCTAGAACTTCTTCGATTTTGAATGGTCCTTCTCGTTTTGGTGCTAACTTTCGTGTTTCGTATCCGAAGTTGATGTTCTTTGCTTCTAACCAAACCCTTTGCCCAACTTTGAATGGTTCATACTTGTTCCGCGTACGATTGATCATCACTTGTCGCGCGAGTTCGTGTAGTGCGAACGTTTCATCTCGGACTTTCTTGAGATCATTGAGTCTTTCTTCTGCACTTGGAACATTGGACTTTTTGATGATTGGTGGAATTGCTCGTGGGTTGTATCCCATCATGATGAAAAACGGGGAATGTTTCCTAGCTGAATGAATTCGATTATTGTGAGTGAATTCCGCTGTTGATAAATACTTTTTCCAATCGTGCTGCCTTCTAGCGCAGAACATTCGTAGATAGACTTCCACCTCTTGGTTGACTCGTTCTGTTTCTCCATCAGTCTGTGGGTGATATGCCGTACTCATGGAGAGTTTTATTCCAAGTAATTTTCCGAGTTCTTTGAACGCATTGGCTGCAAACCTGGGATCTCTGTCTGATATAATTTTGTCGGGTAATCCAAATCTTTTGTAGACATGGTCGAGAAGAAGATTAGCTGCTCCTATCGTGTCGATTGTTTTTCGACAAGGTGCTAAAATTACCCCCTTCGTAGCTCCATGGTCGACCACGACCAATAAAGAATCATCTCCGTCGTTTTCTGGTAGATCGGTGATAAGATCCATAGTGAGATTTGTAAATGGCAGTGCATTTTTCGGTGCTGGTATTGGCATTAACGGTGCCTTTGTCGGATGTGTGTTGACTTTCATTTGTTGGCATAGTGCGCATCCTTCCACGAATTTCTTCACGTAAGAGTATATTCCGGGCCACCAGTAATCACGTTTAATTTGTTCGAGAGTGTTGTATTGTCCCGGACGTCCTGCGTGAAGTGGATCATGATATTTCTTTGTTATCTTTCTTCTGAGTTCTTCGTCTTTCGGCACATAACATTTATCCATAAAAAAAAGAAGCCCGTCTTCGATTTTCCAGTCTGATAATGCTGATTTGATTGGTGGCGCTCCGCTCGTTTTTAATGCTTCCACAGCTTTACTCATCAGATCGTCTCCCATCGTTTTCTCTGCTACTAGGCTGTGAAGTTCTGCATCGATTACTTTTACGAATAACTTGTCCGGTAGCATCACAATATCTTCGTTGTCGGTGTCTTCCGGTGGTATTAAATCCTCTCTTCTTGATAATGCATCGGATTGTGCCATTCGGTGTCCCGGTACGTGTATAAGTTTCAGATCAAACTCTGATAAAAACAGAGCCCATCTAGCTTGTTGGCGGTTAAGTTTTTGATGTGATCGGAAATAGGTGAGGTTTTTGTGATCTGATAGTACTGTTGTCGGATGTTTCGATCCTAGAAGATAATGTCGCCAGGTTTCTAGTGCTCATACTATTGCTAATAGTTCTCGGTCGTAGATTTCGTAGTTCCGTTCCGTTGGAGTGAAAGAATGTGAAAGATATCCGCATGGGTGCCAATCTCCGTGTTCATCTTGTTGTTTCAGCACCGCTCCTGTTGCCCATTTAGAGGCGTCGGCCTCTATTACGAACGGGCGATTTACATCCGGCATTCGCAATACTGGTTCTTCTAAAAACTTCTGTTTTAGTAATTTAAACACTCGATCTGCCTCTTCGTTCCATTCGAATTTGGTATCCTTTTTCGTTAGATCATTCAGTGGTTTTGCAATCTCCGCATACCGTCCAATAAATTTTCGGTAGAAGTTCCCAAATCCTAAGAAAGATCTGACCCCTTTCACCGTTGTTGGTTCCTTCCACTCCTTGATTCCCGCAAGTTTAACCGGGTCCATAGAAATGATTCCAGGTCTAATAATCATTCCGAGAAAGTCGACTTCTTGCACATCGAACTTACATTTTTCCGGTTTCAGATATAAGTTGTGTTCCTTCAGTCTTTGAAGGACCCGTTTTGTTCGGATTTTGTGCATTTTTTCGTCTGATGAAAAGATCAATATGTCATCCATGTAGATTACCATCCATCCTTCGTCAATCATATCGCTAAAAATATCATCCATGAAGGCTTGGAACGTAGCTGGAGAATTGCTCAGTCTGAAAAACATTGCCATGGGTTCGTACAATCCTTTGTTTGTTTTGAATGCCGCCTTCCATTGATCTCCATCTTTGATTCGAATATTATTGTATCCATTTCTGAGGTCCATTTTTGAAAATATTGTTGCGCCCTTTAGCTTGTCCATCAAATCGGTGATTAGTGGTAATGGATAGGTATTCCGAATCGTCCCTTCATTTAGTTTTCTGTAGTCTTGGCATGGTCGAAAGGCTCCTTGTTCCTTCTTTGACACAAAAAAGAACGGGGAAGCCATTGGTGATTTGGACAGTCGGATATACCCTTTTCGAAGGTTTTCCTTTAAGAATTCATCTTGTAATTCTTGTTCTTTCGGCGTCATAGGGTAGATTTTACATCCTGTTGGCATAAACCCTGGTTTGAAGTCGATTGCATGATCATAAGCTCTTGATTCGGGAAATCGTTCTGCAGCCTTTTTCTCGAATCGTTCTTTGTATTCTGAAAGATATTCAGGAATTAGTTCTTCTATAGACTTTTTACCCTGATCTTTCTTTTGCGCTAATTCTTGTGATACCGTTGTCTTGGCTCTGATATGAACCTCTGGTGTTACTTGATCCTTGAGTTCCTGAAAGGTTCGGATACTGA